TGGGTGGTTAAAAACAACCCAATTGCTGGGTTTGTCCCTATTTAACCCAGCATTTTTTAGAGTGTGTTGTAAATATTTAAATCCAGTGCTATAAAAGGCTGCAATATAACAAAGAGTGAAAAATTTAAGGGGGTCTGAATACTTTCCGTACCCACTGTATGTCAAACGTCACAAGAACAAACCAGAAAACAGGTCAGGAAAACAGGTCAGGAAAAAAGTGTTAACAATAGGAAGAACTGACGCCAATATCTATGGATGGTTGAGGTAATCAGCTGACCTAGCTAGTTGTTTTTATTGTTGGTGTTTTATTCAATTTTGATTGAATAATGTTATTATTATTTGGCTGAATGTTAGTGAGAAGAAGAAGAAAAAAAACTTTTATATATCAGCCTGCAAGTGTTGGATGTTTGCTATATTCATCTTTGGTATGTCCATCGAAGGCATCTTTCTTGAGTAAAATAAACGACCTGAACCGGAAGTGACGAGATCCGTTTTACAGAATACGGAAGTTTGTTGTGCATAGCCCCTATTGTGCAGTTTTAGTAAATGGCAAATTTAAATCTTATCAAAATTTGTGATGAAATCAAAATTCTTCTCTTTTCTAAATGTGTGTTATTGATATTGTGACCTATTCATCCATGCATAATTTTTACATTTGTTTTGACCTGGTAATTTGTTATCAAAATGTCTCTCAGTAATAAACCGCTCCTTTTTCATACATCTGCAAGCTTGCATTCAGATATGCCTTCATCCAATCAATAATGGTGGATTGAACCTTTTTCATTCGGATGTATGAAGAAAATGTCTGTCGCTACTTCTTTCATTGCTACTAAGTTCCAGTTATTATAAAACTCAGTTGTAGACTTGCACCGTTTACAGTGGTTTAGGTAATGCCTTTGATTGGTGCACTGAGATAAGGTTTGTTTTATGGGTCAGTCTCACAGTATGGGTGGGTTAATGACTAATGTGGCAGCTATTCTCTTTTGTCTTACCTGTGATTCGCCCACTGTGTTCTGTCAGTTCATGAATCTTAGTCCATTCCTTTCCTTGCTTTTGGTAAATGTGCACAACGTTGCTGTTGGGACTTATTGCAATTTCTAATAATAAAAATGATATAATATTATTATTTTAAAGTTTTATGCACATAAAATAAACCTGAAAAACTGTTCTATAGAAATTTCTTGCAAACAAACCCCATGTATAAAGCAGCAATATTACAGTAAGTTCATAGCAAACTGATGATTCATATGAAGAAGTGCAGCTTTTCTCCCAAAGACAATCTGATATTCCTCTGAGTAGATTATAATGGATGAAAATGGAACTGCAGGCAGCAACATTAGGAGCTTGAAGGGATGTAATTTATATTGAAATGTAGCTCAACTAGTTTGCTCTTACGTGTCCGGTCTTTGTTCCAGGCATGACAGGACAGAGGCTCCAATCCAAAGCTATAGAGGGACATGTTTCAACAGGGAAACCCTGGAATGCACCGCAGATGTTATGAAGAGCACGCAATCATGAAAATGAATGTGACTAAAAAAGGAAGACAGAGTGTTGTTAGCTTGGAGTTCTCCACCCAAATCTTCTTGATTGTCATTTTTCTAAATGGTATCATTTCTCCTTGGTGAGCCATTTTCATTCACATGGTACATTATTACTACAGTCACATTTTCCAAGATATGGAATCATTACCAAAACACAACATTTCCATAATTACAAGTGAATTAAATTAATTTTGCAAACATGTTTACAGTGTTCAGTTCTACAAAAGAGACATTCTTCTCTATCCAATTCTTTTTAGAATATAGTTAATTTACAGTACATTGGTATGACTGAGCAGTGATTGCAGATTCGTACAGCAAACAACAACCCTATCTGACTATGGAAAATTAATTATGCCCTCACCTTTATCTCTTCCTCTCTTTTGTTAGATAGTGATATATCCTATATCCTTGTGCTGGAGAGCTTTTGGAAGGCTATGTTCGTGGACTCTGGGCAGTCGACACGAATGAGGCTGAACAGTTGTAAGAAAGGCTGCAGAGGCAGCAGGGAGGAGATAAGAGAGGGTGTGTCTTTATATTCTGATATAGGCACCTGGCCTGTATGGTCTTATGATAATGGGTTATATTTTAAAAATATATAAATTATTTTTTCACTTAAATGGACAGTTCCCTCAAAAATGAAAATTCCGTCATCATTTACTCACCTTAATGCCATTACAAAGCTGTGTTGTCTTCATTCTTCTGTGGAACCTACAAGAAGATATCTTGAGAATTATCTTTGCATCCCATACAATAGAAGTCAGTTTGGTTTGGCTACAAATATTCTTCAATGTTCTTTTGTGTTTCACAGAAGAAAGGAAGTCATGCAACTTTGGAACAACATGAGAGAAATTAAATGGTGACAGTATTTTCATTTTTGGGTGAACTATCCTTTTAAATTACACTTCACTTCTTATATTGTGTTTTATCTTGAAATAGTTCTTTCTGCTTGTATTATTGTATTATATTATCCTTTGTACGTCAGTATGGGTAAAAGTATCTGTTTTAAATAAATAAATAAATGTATATGAACTTACGAAAATTAACCATGGTTTTACTACAAATAAAACCAAAAAAACATTGTTACTTCACAGGCGGACAGTAACTAAGTACATTTACTTGAGTATTGTACTTAAGTACACTTTTTGAGTATCTGTACTTTACCTGAGTATTATTTTTTTCTGGGAACTTATAACTTTAACTTCCCTACATTTGAAAGACAAATGTTGTACTTTTCACTACACTACATTTCTATCAAGATCCTCGAAGTTGTAATGGAGTAATATTTGACCAGCATTATCTGGACTTTCACTCAAGTAATGGAGTTGAGTACTTTGTCCGCCTCTGGTTACTATAGTTTAACCATGGTAACCACAAGTTAACCATGGTTTTGCCACACTAACCATAGTTTAACCATGGTTTTTGTAGTAGAACTGTGGTTATACAAGTGGTAATCAATCACTGATCTATAATATAGTAATAGTAACAGTCATTATATAGATCAGTGTATCTGATCTATATAAGATACCCCCAAACCAAAAAACAGAGATATGTTGGTGTTTCTGGTGAAGTATTAGCTTTGTTGAAGTAAAGAACACAATTTCAGTGGTGGTTATGACCCTGGTTGAATAAGGACAACACTAGGATTGGGTTTATGCACAGACTTAACCTTTTCAGCTGTCATTAGATCCAAAATCACACAGGCTCTCAGTTTTAAACACATGGAAAATAAATACTGTTCTTTTGAAATTCAATGTCATGGCAAGGGGGCTGCAAAATATAATCTAAACACTTAGCACATGTAGCACATCATGTGAGTCAGAATGTAATAAATTAGCTTGTCTGACAACCTCGATCTCCTCTCAATACAAAAACAAGCCCTTGCCCTTTAAGGTTGTCAGGAGTAACGGGCTTCCCAGATCGAGGCGCATTGACGTCAATCGTTGTTTGTGATTGGTCATAACCTTTTCCGGTGAGGCATCAATCCATCCGAGGCCTGTGAGAAAGCTAGTGTAAACGGAGTAAAACACGTCGACAAACTCATCGAAGCGACTCAGGTATGAATACTTAATAGCAGAAGTCTGCGCTGTAACAGTTGTTGATATCGATGCGTGGGCTGACGGCCTCTTGGAGAGGTTAGTATAATGCCGTCGGCTTCCGTTGTTGTGAGAATGTAGCTTGCAAGATGGCGTATTGTGCTGCTTGACAAAACTGGTTACAGAAAACACAGAGCTGCAAGAGGCTGCAGGATTACGCTGCTTAACGCTTACACACGTGCTGTGTAGCGTGTATTTACAATGGCATGTGTTTTTTGCACTAAAATAATGTTATGTTCACATGACCGATTAGCGTTGAATTGAGAAACGCCTGTGGGGATGCGAACTGCGAATTTTATGAGCTCAGGGGCCCCGACAGGGACTAGGGGCCACAGTATGCCTGTCAAAATGCAACGCTGCTTAAAAAAATAATACGTTACTTGAGAGAATTTTCTGTGCTGCTTGGCTTAATCACTGACGGATTTATTAGAAATATAGGAGCCATGTTAACTGTTGAACTTGTTGCAGTTTGACAACTTATTATTTGAAATTGTTTAATGTTGTATTGGGTTGCAGCAGCATTATGTACGTTTTTTGTTTATCACTGGTACGATGTTTTCATTAAGATATGATCACGAGGTCAAGTTTTTTTTTTTTTACAGAAGGTTCCCACAGTCATGGAAGACCTGGAAATATAAAGTTTAATTTAATTTAATGGAAACAATGTTAGGCCAGGACAAGTAATAGAAATGAAAAACTTATTAAAAAGACATTGATATTTGTATAATGGAAACATTTCTATGTATTTTGTTCAATTAGAATTTTAGTCAGTTAAACGGATGGACTGGACAAGTTCATTGGTCAAAATGTGTGTGAACCTTGTAACACTGAAAAACATGGTAGGGGTGTAATTAATTTCACATATTTATATGTGTATAAATGTAGGAAGTGATTTTAGCCACAAGAACATCTACACATGATCATACACTGGTGTGTCTATGTGTATGAGAAACCACAAAAGAAACCACTAAAGTGCAAATATAATAGAGTATTTTTTCTCATAACTGGAGAATTATATATAATATATTATATACAACATAATATATTATATGCCTAATTTAATGATTTCCATAACAGTTTCGTCTGAAAAATTCAAAACCGTACAAAATATTTTGTAGTATCTCAGTTACAAGTGCATGTTAATCCACAGAAAAATAATGGTTTGTCTTCATAGTCTTAGTCAACATATTATGAGAATTTGGGTCTCCTCTGGAATGCTGTTCCTTCTCTGATGATGAAGACGTCAGTGTGACGCATGAACAGAACATCCGCTCGCCTTCAGCTGTCAGTCTGCTGCGAGCTTGAGATGGCCCCGCCCTCAGTATCCCATTTCATTTAGAAATACGTCACAAAGTTGCTTGCGACTTCAGATTCAAGCTGACTTTACAATAAAATTTGTGAAAAACTTCATGGTATTACACTTTAAAAGCATGATGACTGTCAGATCTTCAATGCAAAGAGTTGGTCTAATGATGTTTTTGGCTCATGAAGAAGGACTGGATTTGCTCCAGATTCGTTGGGTTTCATGAGCTGATGTGGACTGCATGTGCTGGGTCAGCAGGTCATCATGGCGTCCAGCAGTACGAGCAGTGAAGAAGAGCGGAGCTTGCGGGAGTGTGAGCGCTACGTGCAGAAGCACAACATCCAGCAGCTGCTGAAGGACTGCATTGTGCAGCTGTGCACTAACAGGCCTGAAAGACCCATGGCTTTCCTCCGAGAGTACTTCGAGAGGCTTGAGAAGGTCAGTCATTTTTCGAGGGAAACTGCATGCTCTTAGACTGGGTTTTCTTTAGAAATATTCTTCACTCTTGAGAAGTAAGTTTCAGTGCCTCAATTGTTGTTTATGTGTATCAGGAGGAAGCTAAACAACTCATCAGTCAGCAGAAGTCAAGCTCTCGCTCAGACTCCCGTGAAGATGAGGTTTCTCCTCCCATGAACCCTGTGGTTAAGGGCCGACGGCGCCGCGGTGCCATCAGTGCAGAGGTCTACACTGAGGAAGACGCAGCGTCTTATGTCAGAAAGGTAACTTTTCATTTGCTTTTATATATCATTCTTTTAGAATTTTTCTATGACACAAATAATACTTATACGTAAAATTGCTCTTTAGTAAGAAAATAGCTTTTGCTGTTTTTCACAGGTTATTCCTAAAGATTATAAAACTATGGCTGCTCTTGCTAAAGCGATTGAAAAGAATGTGCTTTTTGCTCATCTTGACGACAATGAAAGAAGGTGACACATTTTGTGGTTTTGATAAGTAGATTGAAATATTCAGTGTAACTTATACAGTCTTTCGTTTATTGGAAACAACTTATTTTACTCTTCACAGTGACATATTTGACGCCATGTTCTCAGTCACTTACATTGCAGGAGAGACTGTGATTCAACAAGGTAAGGCTTCTTTTTAGGAGAAGCTGAATGTGTAAAAATAGGAAAAATAAATCGACTAATGTATCGTATTTCTCATTTCAGGGGATGAGGGTGACAATTTTTATGTTATTGACCAAGGTGAAATGGATGTAAGTGCAATGCTTTCAAATTAGCGATGAATCAGGATGGAGTATAATAATGCATAAATGTGAAAGATATTGATGGATGTATTTGTAAGTACTGTTGTTTTTTGACAGGTGTACGTCAACAATGAGTGGGTGACCAGTATTGGAGAAGGTGGCAGTTTTGGTGAGCTGGCTTTGATCTACGGCACTCCCAGAGCAGCCACTGTCAGAGCAAAGACCAACGTCAAGCTGTGGGGAATCGACAGAGACAGCTACAGGAGAATACTCATGGTTGGTATACTATTTAACTGATTCTTAATTAGTCATTCATTTTTTAAATGTAACTGATTTTTTTCTCCTCCTGCTTAATCTTGATTACTGTCCGTGTTTAGGGAAGTACTCTGAGAAAGAGAAAAATGTATGAGGAATTCCTTAGCAAGGTCTCCATTTTGGGTAAGTTTGATGTTTCGTCTGCCATAAATGTTTATTTTTTATGTTCTTTTATTGTAATATATATTTGCAGGTTGTGTGTTTGTGTGTGTGTTTGTGTGTATATATATATAATATAATATAATATAATATAATTTGCCTTTTGTGGTGATAACATGCTATCATTATGTGAGCAGAGTCTCTGGATAAATGGGAACGGTTGACAGTTGCTGATGCCCTCGAGACGGTCCAGTTTGAAGATGGCCAGAAGATTGTTGTGCAGGGTCAACCAGGAGATGAATTTTTCATTATTCTTGAGGTAGCTTGTTAAATCTATTCATTTTTTTGACACTGTTCTCATCATGTTTTTGTGTTAATTAGAGTCATACTTCTTCGATCTTCACAAAAAATGTAAATAATGATGAAATTGTTGTAGAAAGTGTAGCCCTAAAACCTCAGAGAGACGTCATGGAAGAACAGACGTATTGATTCAGACTTGTGTCCTCAGGGTTCGGCAGCAGTCCTGCAGCGGCGGTCGGAGAATGAGGAATTTGTAGAGGTTGGAAGACTTGCACCATCTGACTACTTTGGTAATTGTGTTTTCTTTACTTTCTGCAAAATCAGTCATGCCGCGTATATTTAAACATATCCCAGAAATCCCTTTGCTAATGTAATTACATATTGATTCCATGTGCAGTGTCCATTAGTGCACGTTAATGTGTTTGTTTGTTTGTTTCTCTATGGCTCTTTTCTGATTTCCCTCCATATGTGCTTCAACAGGTGAGATCGCACTGCTCATGAACCGGCCTCGTGCCGCCACCGTGGTTGCTCGCGGCCCGCTGAAGTGTGTAAAATTGGACCGTCCCCGGTTCGAGCGCGTGCTCGGCCCCTGCTCAGATATCCTGAAGCGAAACATACAGCAGTACAACAGCTTCGTGTCTCTGTCGGTCTGAGGCGCACTAGGCTCTTTCCTCCTCTATTGCAGGGTCCACCAATGCAAATCAGCTTTATTTTCTTACTTTTCTTTATGCATTTTCCAACACCCAGGTGCCCATTCACTTCAGTGTTCTCTCTCTCTCTCTCTCTCTCTCTCTCTCTCTATCTGTTTTTTCGATTCGTGCCGTACCCTGTCGCGTTCGTATCCATCGTAGATTTACCATAAGGCTGATTGTTAGTTTTGCCTGAGAAACGAGCCAATCATTGTGCCACAGATGCCTGTCATGTGACTAACTAACAAGGTCTGTCGGGATTGTCTCTTTCCTCCAAATTGCTTCACCTTTCTGTATAACAGTGTTTCGAATGGAAGGAAATCAGTGGCAGGGTTGACAGTCATGTAGTCTATCTATTCAGTATATGATGATGTATCTTAATTGAGGCATCGAGTTTCAGATTCTGTTTTCCCGCGTTCATTTCAAGCATTTGAGTATAGGGAAGCCAAAGGCATAAATCCATGTGTGTTATGTTGTTTTCTTGTGGGTACTGAAGTTAAAATGTCACCATGTTTATCGTGGTGATTAGCTTTGCTCTTTTATTGTTATAGCTGCACATATATAGTGTATGTAAATGATTATATATTAGAAGTAAATGACCATAACCATATTTTTTTGCACAGTTTTGATATATATATATATATATATATATATATATAAACACTTTATATGTGCCTGCTGTTTTTCATTGTGGCATTTGATCCCATTTCATTGGACTTTTTCATTTTCTGTTGTTTGTTTTGTTCTTTTCCTTCATGCTACACACAGGCTTGCACTGGACTCTTATGTAGAGCACACCAGGATTAGACAAATCTCCTTTTAAAGTTCAATTTTGTTTCACATTTTCTCCCATCTGAAATGCCACCTGCTGCAAATGCTTTTATTTGTTTGTTTCCCCCACAAAAAGGTGATGTTATCTTGTATTCAACATTGTGTTTAAGTACAGAAAAAAAAGTACTCATTTAAGTACTCATTTTTGGTTTTGTTAATTGTTAAGAAGAGTTACAGAAATGTAATGGTTAATGAAATCTGACAGAGTATGTGAGGATCCTCCTCGACAGGAAGTGACCACTTGGTGACCTCTTTAGCCAAGTGAAGATCCCATTAGGTTTTCTTTCTCGATGAGAGTGTATGTGAACTGTTTTGAAATCCCAAATGTCCCCCCCCCCCCCACCCCCCTCCTTTCTTTCATAATTTAAACTGAAATAATTTGGTTTATCAACAGGGCAGGAATAAGAAAAATAGTTTTCAAATGATCAGTGTCCTTTTTTTGATTGAGATTTAGATGATTCTCCTTAGTTAAATCCAAGTCTTAAAACAGGGACAGTATTTACCGCTTGTGTTGAGTTCATGGTGTCTGTATGCCATGAGGGTTAGGATCCATCAAATGATTGGAATAGATCTGCGATCCGCTACTGCCACCATCTTAATCTCTTATCAGATATTGTTCTTGGGGTTCTCCGAGTTGTGTTGTATGATTTTACTGGGTGGTACAATAGTGTTAACTGTTGCTGAAGGTAGATTTTAAATAGTCACACAGAGATATTCTTGTATTATTTGAAAACAGTTGATGTGAATTTTAAATTTGTGTATTTTTGTTTTCCACACATCTTGCGGCTGCACATATATAGAGTATGTAAATGATTATATATTAGAAGTAAATGACCATAACCATATTTTTTTGCACAGTTTTGATATATATATATATATATATATATATATATAAACACTTTATATGTGCCTGCTGTTTTTCATTGTGGCATTTGATCCCATTTCATTGGACTTTTTCATTTTCTGTTGTTTGTTTTGTTCTTTTCCTTCATGCTACACACAGGCTTGCACTGGACTCTTATGTAGAGCACACCAGGATTAGACAAATCTCCTTTTAAAGTTCAATTTTGTTTCACATTTTCTCCCATCTGAAATGCCACCTGCTGCAAATGCTTTTATTTGTTTGTTTCCCCCACAAAAAGGTGATCTTATCTTTTATTCAACATTGTGATTATGGCAGATACAAGTTCAGAAAAAAAGTTACATTTGTTTGTTTTGTTTAATTGTGAAGAAGAGTTACAGAAATGTAATGGTTAATGAAATCTGACAGAGTATGTGAGGATCCTCCTCGACAGGAAGTGACCACTTGGTGACCTCTTTAGCCAAGTGAAGATCCCATTAGGTTTTCTTTCTCGATGAGAGTGTATGTGAACTGTTTTGAAATCCCAAATGTCCCCCCCCCCCCCACCCCCCTCCTTTCTTTCATAATTTAAACTGAAATAATTTGGTTTATCAACAGGGCAGGAATAAGAAAAATAGTTTTCAAATGATCAGTGTCCTTTTTTTGATTGAGATTTAGATGATTCTCCTTAGTTAAATCCAAGTCTTAAAACAGGGACAGTATTTACCGCTTGTGTTGAGTTCATGGTGTCTGTATGCCATGAGGGTTAGGATCCATCAAATGATTGGAATAGATCTGCGATCCGCTACTGCCACCATCTTAATCTCTTATCAGATATTGTTCTTGGGGTTCTCCGAGTTGTGTTGTATGATTTTACTGGGTGGTACAATAGTGTTAACTGTTGCTGAAGGTAGATTTTAAATAGTCACACAGAGATATTCTTGTATTATTTGAAAACAGTTGATGTGAATTTTAAATTTGTGTATTTTTGTTTTCCACACATCTTGCGTTATGTGATCATACAGATGTCCAGCTCCTTTATACTGCAGACTCGAGCGAATTTAGGTTTTGAAAAGTGCCTGATTTCTTTACTTTCATAATGCATAGCCAACAGACATTTCCTTGTAGTTTTTTTCCCTCCCAATTCTAGTCATAATGTCAGCTGTTACCTGTATTATCTGTAAACGACAATATTTTTTTCATCGGTATATACAGATACCCTTAGCAGTGCAATTTATTTAGACTTGAAGCTCCAGTAATCAGGAGTTTATTTAACTGAACTGTCCCAAAATTGCTATGTTAATTAACGAAAGGTGCAAGAGAACTGACCTAGATTTTGTGTTTTTATCTTCACTATTTGACTTTGTCCTACTGACCACATGGAGGAATTGTTGTCTTTTTACTCTCTGACACTTGATTTAAGAGCATTTTAGAGCCTTACTGCATTGTCACTGCAGTTGTCTGGGAAAAGACGCTCATTCACAGATTCTGCCCCTTTAGACTGGATTATAATTTCAGAATCAGTCAAATCTTGGTGCTGTAGCTTTAAAGACACAATCTGCACCCTTAATGATATGTAAAGAGTAGCCTTTGATTAACCGTTCTACTGTCTTTTCACTGAGTGGTTTATGCCTTATGATGGGGTTGAATAAATAAACATGTTTAAGTTATTTGTTTAGTCGTTAATGTAAACTGTGACACCATTTGTTAGGCATAAAATTGCTAAATGGTGTACTTGTTATTGCTCATATATGCATTGCTTTGTTCATTTAACTTCATTTGGCAGTGCAGAATTGATCAAATGAACCATAAGTCTCCCGGTTTGCTGTAAAATGCATAATTTAAACTTTATTGTAATTCTCTCCCTTTTATGAATAAATTAAGTAATTTGTTCCACCGCTAATTCAATTTTTTGCTTGCTTTTATTATGATTTATTAACAACTTCAGGCCTGTTTCTCGAAGAACATTCATTGATACACTCGAAGTGAGTTTGTATTACCACCCTCAACCTTTTTATTATTTTTTTTTTTTTTTAAGTTTGCTTTTCATTCCCTGGTTGTGACTGCCAATGGTGTTTTCTTCTGAAGTTTTCAGTAAAATTGTGTTCTAGTATGTACAGAGGAATTGATATATTTGCTTGTAGGCTTTTCCATCAAGGCTTAGAGACTCCTGTTCACCCATTCTTCAGTTTGTTAAGCCCTCAGCACAGAGAGTTGTAAAATGTCAGAGGACCATTTTTCTATTATTCTTTTTCTATAACTGTGTACGGTTTGATTTCATTGGATGTGCTCAAGTTGTAAACCTTTTGGTATAGATTGTCCCAATGGCAGGTCAAGCAATAAAATTATGAATTCTTGAATATGTAAGTGTCTTGTGTTTCCTGTACTGTAGAGTATTTCTCTCAAGGACTACGGATTCAAATATTAATACTACTTGCGGCCTGTAATACATGGTTTTTGGATCACATATTTTGGCATAAAATACATTGAATTAATCATACTGGATCAAACATAAATCCTGGATCATTTACTTTTAATTCCGTAAGCTACAGTACATCCCCAATGAATACTAAAAGGAGTTCCTTGTTACAGTGTAATTATACATTTAAGTACTGAGTAATATTAATTAACTACATGTACTTACTATATGGTTAGGGTTAGGATTAGGGTTTGGCTTAGGGTTACTTGCTTGTAATTTTGCATAATTATTATAAAAGTAAGTACATGTAACGCATGTAACAAGGACACCTTAAAATAACGTGTTACCATACTATATGTATACAGTGAAATTACAGCAATAATTAATTGGTAACATTTTATTTTAATGTGTCCTTGTTACATGTAATTACTATTATAATAGCAATTAATTATGCATTACATGCAAGTAACCTTAAGCCACACCATAACCCTAACCATATAGTATAACTCAAATAATATTTCTCAGTACTTACTAAATGTATAATTATACTGTAACAAGGACACCTTAAAATAAAGTGTAAACTTGTAATTTGTTAAAAAACAAAATAATTTCTAAGAGTCTATTTTGCAGAAGACATCTCACTGTTAAAATGGCTGTATGGTATATTGATTTTGACGACTGTTATTTAAGGACTCTTCATATTATCCATCCCCCAGGGAGTTGACTCTTCCCAAAATATTTGTAGTCATGTGAATTAATGGCATTTTTTCAGAGATTTCTGTATCATTTTGCCCTACCCCTCCACACCCAATACAACAACTGTCATCCCAACTGTCTGGCACTGGAATGACAGTTGTTCCTTTAATAAAAAAGTTGTTCCTTTTTTTTTTTATACGTGTTTTTAATTTCAACGTGCAGTGTTTACTCCCTTATCTATGAAATTAATAATATTTTCACAGGCGCATTGTACTGGGATACGGAACGAGAGAGAAGCAGGCAGGCTCACGAGATCTCCGAAAGCGTACGAACCTTGTGTTCGTCTTTTTCCGGAAATATCGTGAAATACCCCCGACTGCCACCGACCGCTGCTGCAGCTGAACAGCAATCGTACCAGCCCACAGGCACCTTAACATCACATTTCAGGCTATTTCTTCAGATTCCTCGCTCGTCGGATACTACTCGTGCACTGCAAATGCAAGCCATTAAGTGTGTCGTTGTCGGCGACGGGTAAGATGTTGAAGAATAAATGCTAAAATTGCTTATTTTTGTACGGAGGTTTTCTTTTGGGGGAAAAGCAATTGTTGCGAGAAGGAGCTGGGGAGCTCTCCGAGCTGGGGATTGTGGTTTGGCTCAGCGGATGAGTGAGATCTGCTGAGACAGAATTGAGGGTTTTATAATTATTAAACATTTTTAAATATTACCGTGTCCGAAACACCGTAGTTGTTATCATTATGGTTTAAAATTAGATTGTAATGAGCATAGGCTCTGTTTAGTGATGGCTGTTTTGTTAAATATATGCTCAGGCGTTTACAATTGTGTGCATTTGTTCCATTTTTAAATGAATCGATGTCGCTTTAAAGTATTGTGGCAATGATGCCATGTAAACCATGCAAGCATTAAACGCATCTCGTGCAGTGTAGAAATGAGATGCGCGTGTAGTACGGCGCAACGGCTATGTAATGCCATGTTTCACACCTACATCGCTAGAGCTCGGGTGGAAATGATCGTGTGCTTGCTTGTGAGCCTGAACTTTACCCCTAACCTTTTCTTAAGTCATTCTTTTCTATCAGAGCGCATCATAAAACCAGCCTAATTCCTTCCTAAATTCTTAAAACGGTATTTCCCCCCAGCGATGATAAACATCGAACGAAACAAATAGTTGCATTGTAAGCGTTTGGTAGATATCAACTAGCATTTGTTTGTACGATCATTTCATTACCCATACCGGTTATTTTTAATATTAATGTGTCCCATAACCACTATTCATCAGTTTTTTATTTAAATTTTTTTAAATAATCACTAGATAATTATTAGACTACAACAGTAGAATGCAATATGTACTATAAAATTTTAACAATAATAATACTAGTACTGTTTTAGCTTACAATACATGTCAAGCAGAAAAAATATTGGCCAAACCGTTTATTATCTCTATAGGCCTAGTATTTGGTGTGATTTGTACTTATTTCATGGTATTAGTTAAATGTATGTGCTTAATTCATAGTTTCTTTTAGACCTTGGAGAATTAATATTAGCTGTTTCCTTGTAACCATTTAAGGTTTAGCCCCTGTCTCATGGTACACGCTTTCTGTCATTTGCCATTGGTTTCTTTCATTTTTGCCCGCTTACTTTGCTTTTTCTATTTTTACCCCTTTTATTATCACTCTTACTCTTCCTTTCCTAATTTTTGATAACTTTTCACCCTGCCACTGCATTTCCTCTCTATGCTCTTTACTCCTCTTTCTGTGTAAGTGCATGCAGTGTGTGTTTTTCATGACAAGAAGCTGTCACCCTGTATTCACTCCTCATCCGGCGGGGCAGTTCATTTGAGAACAGAACTGTGAATTAGTGGCTGCCAGCGTGCCATCGAGCCCAAGAGTGAATGTAATGCCTGAATGAATAACTACAGGCCTTTCTGCCTGCTTTCCACTATTGTTTCCTTGATGTGCCGTGTATGTGCAGTCCTCGGTCCTCAGTACTGCAGTCACACTTACCACTTAGCATCTTTTGTATTTCAGTGCCGTGGGTAAGACATGCCTGCTCATCAGCTACACCACTAATGCCTTCCCAGGAGAGTATATTCCCACAGTGTGAGTAGTTTGATACTTTGAAATGGGAATTATTCCTGTGTGTCTCTGCAGTTTACTTCTGTGGATGTGTTTCTGAAATGTTCTGAAAAATCTGTGTGTGACCCTCAGATTTGACAACTACTCTGCCAATGTTATGGTGGATGGTAAACCTGTCAACTTAGGCCAATGGGGCAAGAAAAATAATCTTGTTTAGCCTTTGAATTAAGATTATTTTTCTTACTCCATTGGCAGATATTTTTGATTGTTCTAAGCAAAAACTAACAAAATTGAGAATTGTTTTTAGAAAACAACTTAATATCTTAAAGGCACAATATGTCATTTTCGCCGCTGGAGGTTTATTTATTCAAAACAAACAAAGAAACAAAGGCGTAGCTTGATGACGCTGTGACTGAGTGTGGAATCATGGGAGTTGTGGTCTTCATCCCCACAGCCGATGCAATCTGACAGGACTCAGGCAGAAATCATAGCAGCGGAGCTTTTATTATGCCACAGTCGACCGCTTCCGCTCCTTCCGGTTGTGCGTATGTGGGGAAAAAAGCAGCGCTGTTTTATCAGACTAGATACAGTACATTCTATTAAAACGCACAACATATTAAAGCATCTTTGGTGTTTCCGGAAATCGAGGGGTTATGACGTCATTGGCAGGCGACACAATGACACTATGGACACGCTCCGTGTCACTAGTTAAAATTACGTATTTCTCTGGATTTAAACATTCTTCGAAACATTTGGGATAATGTAAGTACACAAGTCAGCAAAATATATAACACTGTTCTAGTGGTTTTTGAATATTTTAATAAAAAGATCTTACATATTGTGCCTTTAAATCGTTTTAATTGTCAAGTAAATGCATCTTGATTTAAGAATGTTTCGATATTTATACTAGAAAACAAGACAAAATACTAAGTAAGAAAATCAATTTTTGCAGTGTATAATGTTACAAAACATTTCTATTCCAAATAAATGCTGTTCTTAACTTATTATTCATCAAAGAATCCTGAAAAAATGTATCATTGTTTCCACAAAACAAATTCAACTTTGCCATTACAGGAATAAATTACATTTAAAAATATATTCAAATAGAAACAGTTATTTTAAGTTGTAATAATACATCTAAATGTATTATTTAAATAAATGCAGCCTTGGTGAGCATAAAGAGCTTCTTTTAGTGCATTAATATATCGTACAGACTCCAAACATTTGAGCGGTACTGTGCTTTCTTCAAATGATAAATGATTTAAAAAGGTTATAAAAAGTTTTTAAAAAATGATTCTTCCGTTTTCTGACAACCTCAGCATTATATAATGCAGTGTAATCAGAAATGAATAATTGATGACATTGATTTTTACCAAGAGTCTCCTTTGCTTTCTACAGGATGTGTTTTTAATTTGCTTCTCACTGGTGAGCCCTGCTTCCTTTGAGAATGTAAGAGCAAAGGTTAGTAAGAGAGTTGGCACGTTCACACTGAGTCACTGGAGGTGATGTCAAGATGCTTCAGTATTGCAGGCAACATCATTAAGACATAATCGAAGACGCTCAACCAGGAATAGATGGAGGTGAAGAAAAAAAACACTAATAAGAGGCAAAGTGCTGATTTCTCTGACGTCAGTCCTGCTGGGTTTGGGCTAAGTTTAGGATTTCTAGTTTATCAGAGAAGTTTGTTCTTCATTAAAGGCGCAATATGTAATTTTCGCCGCTAGAGGGCGCATATTCAAAATAAACAAAGAGACAAAGGCGTAGCTTGATGACGCAGTGACTGAGTGTGGAATCATGGGAGTTGTGGTCTTCATCCCCACAGCCGATGCAATCTGACGGGACTCGGGCAGAAATAATGTTCATGGATGAGCTTATGATTTATTAACGTAGTAGAATGAAGCAGGGTGAGGCTGAAAGCCGTCGAAGCGAAACGAGACGCTGAACGAGCGTGACACACGGCTCGAAAGCAGCGGAGCTTTTATTATGCCACAGTCGACCGCTTCCGCTCCTTCCGGTTGTGCGTATGTGGGGAAAAAAGCAGCGCTGTTTTATCAGACTAGATACAGTACATTCTATTAAAACGCACAACATATTAAAGCATCTTTGGTGTTTCCGGAAATCGAGGGGTTATGACGTCATTGGCAGGCGACACAATGACACTATGGACACGCTCCGTGTCACTAGTTAAAATTACGTATTTCTCTGGATTTAAACATTCTTCGAAACATTTGGGATAATGTAAGTACACAAGTCAGCAAAATATATAACACTGTTCTAGTGGTTTTTGAATATTTTAATAAAAAGATCTTACATATTGTGCCTTTAAATCGTTTTAATTGTCAAGTAAATGCATCTTGATTTAAGAATGTTTCGATATTTATACTAGAAAACAAGACAAAATACTAAGTAAGAAAATCAATTTTTGCAGTGTATAATGTTACAAAACATTTCTATTCCAAATAAATGCTGTTCTTAACTTATTATTCATCAAAGAATCCTGAAAAAATGTATCATTGTTTCCACAAAACAAATTCAACTTTGCCATTACAGGAATAAATTACATTTAAAAATATATTCAAATAGAAACAGTTATTTTAAGTTGTAATAATACATCTAAATGTATTATTTAAATAAATGCAGCCTTGGTGAGCATAAAGAGCTTCTTTTAGTGCATTAATATATCGTACAGACTCCAAACATTTGAGCGGTACTGTGCTTTCTTCAAATGATAAATGATTTAAAAAGGTTATAAAAAGTTTTTAAAAAATGATTCTTCCGTTTTCTGACAACCTCAGCATTATATAATGCAGTGTAATCAGAAATGAATAATTGATGACATTGATTTTTACCAAGAGTCTCCTTTGCTTTCTACAGGATGTGTTTTTAATTTGCTTCTCACTGGTGAGCCCTGCTTCCTTTGAGAATGTAAGAGCAAAGGTTAGTATCCACTGAAGAATAAGAAATATTTCTTGAGCATTTGGATTCCTTAACAAGATCCACAAGCTATTAGGGTGCCTAGTGTTAACCAGATTTCTCTTTGTAGTGGTACCCTGAGGTTCGCCATCACTGTCCAAACACCCCCATCATACTTGTGGGCACTAAACTTGATCTGCGAGATGACAAAGACACGATTGAACGTCTGCGGGATAAGAAACTAGCTCCCATCACTTATCCGCAAGGGCTTGCTATGGCTAGAGAGATTGGTGAGAATGTTATTTTTAATATGTATATGGTTTATTTCCTTTTTTTAAAACTAACCTACACTGAAAAAAAATTGGTGTAGAAACAATTTTCATTAAAAAAATTGCTAGTAAATTTTACAAATAAAATTTGCTAGTGCAATTAATTAAATGAGAAAATTTGAAGTACAAAAACTGAAATATATATGTATCAAACGTACTTAAATAGTCTTTGTTTACAACTTTAAAAAATGTATATTTTTTACAGTTTAGAACTTTTTCAATGTGCTATAATAGTGTTATGGCATTGCCATGGGGAATTGTATCGTGTATAGTTGGCTCATTGAAATCTTTGGCTTTGTAGGTGCTGTGAAGTATCTGGAGTGCTCTGCTCTTACTCAACGGGGTTTAAAAACCGTGTTTGATGAGGCCATCCGCGCTGTTTTATGTCCTCCACCTGTAAAGAAAAGGGGCAAGAAGTGTACTGTATTTTGAGAAACACTGCAACTCATTTCTTCATTGATATGCCATGTAAACAGCAGGCTCTTGCTCTTCAGCTCTGCTGTTAGCAACAGATAAATCCAGGTTGTGAGGTGACTAACTGCAGAGACATGCATTTCCATGGTATGTCTGGTATAACCAGTCACAAGGGTCAATTTTTGAGAAAAATTGAGATTTATGCATAATCTGAATAAATAAGCTTTCCATTGATGTATGGTTTGTTAGGATAGGACAATTTTTGGCCGAGATACAACTATTTGAACATCTGGTATCTGAGGGTGCAAAACAAATCTAAATATTGAGAAAATCACCTTTAAAGTTGTCCAAATAAGTTCTTAGCAATGCATATTACTAATCAAAAATTAAGTTTTGATATATTTACGGTAGGAAATCTACAAAATACCTTCATGGAACATGATCTTTACCTAATATCCTAATGATTTTTGGCATAAAAGAAAAATCAATAATTTTGACCCCTACAATGTATTGTTGGCTATTGCTACAAATATACCCCAGCGACTTAAGACTGGTTTTGTGGTCAAGGGTCACATATCAACATAAATATGCCAAATTTGCTTTGTTTTTATTAAACTTTGCCTTAAATTGTTGGTTTAATGTGAACATTTATTGGAAGAGAATGACATAAGGCCATGGCATCAGGATGAATAATTAGTTACTAAAGAACACGCATAGCTAACTGTAAAGTTATTTGCCCTGTTGCAACAAATGTTACATTTTTCAGAGCTTATTGTGTGGAAATCGTGACTATTCATATTTTATCTGCACATAATTTTGGGATCTGTGAATGTGTCAGAAGATTATGTACATAGATATTTTGCGACTTAAATGTGTTGCCATAGTTAATGCTCTCACTTGAGGGGTGACGGTAAATGCATTTTTAAGTATTTTACTTTCAGCTTTTATTGCCTGTTAAACATTTCATACAGTACCTGTGTTTTAATGTGACTACTGTATGTGATAATTTGTTAAACAATGACAGAAATATTACACACTGAAATATTTGTTAGCCTATAAAGTACTATTATTAGATACTATAAACAGAAATAATACTATATAAATAAGCTGTAATCACAATTGTCTGTAATGTTTAATGGACTACATACTGCAACTTACAATGAAAACCATTTTGTGTAGATTGTACATCGTTTAAAAGTCTTTTTTTTATTTTTTGCTAAACATTTTCCTATATATTTTGATATGTTTCAAACACGATGAAGTGTGCCATTACTGATTTTTGTGCTGGGCTAACAAAATGTTTTAACAGTTGTAAGTGTTCAGATGATTCTTTGAAATGTTCTTTAACCTTTTAATGATTAATATTTCAATTTTAATGAGTTTAAAAAATGTGTATATGTGTGCCATTTGAGCATTTATGTTTTGTTAGTATGCATTAACATTAGGCATTTTTGTTTTTATTGAACTAATGACAGAAAATTAAATCACTGGCACATACAGTACATAACCTCAGTCGCAGTTTCAGTTCTTGCCAAAAAAATAATAAAATCAGTACGAGTGAGACATCATTGTGAAGGTGTGGTTGTGGCTGTTGTGTGGTCTTTTATTCATTTGCTAAGTAACATCTGGATACTGTACAGCCAATGGGTCATTATCTCAAAATAAACTCTTCAGTGTACAATATCCTTTACATAACTAGACTTAACCAACACCCAAACTAAGGTGACCAGATTTCTGACATGGAAACTAGGTACATTACCTAGTTCAGTGGTAAAAAAAAACAATTATTGAAATCTCAATGTTATTATCTATAAATTAAAATACAGAAACGAGATTTTATTGTTGTTGGTTCCATACAGGGGCGTAGATTACGTGGGGGACGTGTCCCCCCCACTTATTGTAATGTTTTATATATATATATATATATATATATATATATAACATTTCTGTCCCCCTCACTTCTGAAATGATGGCTACGCCCCTGGTTCCATATACTATTAGTATAATTAGTAACTATTATGTTTGCAGTTCAAACTGACCCAAATTGGTTTTAATACAGTTCACTAAAAATCTAATCACTATCAAAAATAGTAAATATTTTTAAGCATTTTAAATAGTAAAGTGGTCATTATAGTATTATATCGGCAAAATTGACTTTACAAAAACATAAAATAAATATGAGAACATATGATAAATAGAACTATTTAGCAAATATTTTCAGACATAATTATTAAGTATTAAGTATACTTAAGACAAAGTCAGAAACCCAAGCAATAAAGATGCTCGACAGCATTTACATCATTTTAACAGACGTGTACCAGACGCTGCCTCAATATAAACTCAGCCACTCATGTAAGAATGTTCACTGTAAATGTGTTTTTGTTATTATCTTATGGCCTTGAGCCTGCAAAATACACCACCCACATGAGAGTGCAGTGACTCGCGGGGTGTGAAGGTAGTGACGTCCACCACGCGCACTCTCATGCCCCGGATGTGTTTGTGTGCTCTGTTTCTGCAGAGGAGGAGGAGATGCCGCTACCCGTGCAGGTCTTTAACTTTCAGGTAAATTAGCGCCTTTAAATGCTTTTCCGTCATCTTCCACAACACGAGAGTAGCTAGAAGAAGCGCACCGAGTTGAAGTGCCTCTGTTTACAGTGTCAGTTCCTCCCCTATCGCAGCCGTTGAGAGCTGTTAGCTCGTCTAGCATGAGCTCGTAAGTCAGAGCGGCCCTCGGGACGCGACTAGTTTAGCGACAGCGCGCCTCTATCCGCCCGAGGAGCGAGACCAATGCAGTTTCGACAGTGAATACATCCAATAGAGCTGTTTTGGTTTACACCCAAAGTGGTCCAGTGGGCTTTCTCGGGGTCGCTTGTGAAACACTTGGGTAGAAAGTTTCTTTAGCCGGCTAAGTGTGTTTAGCAAGCTATCTCGTTAGCAAGCTGTCTGTTTTGTATCATTTAGCCAGTGTGCTTGCAATTCAGGCTGTGTTTCAAAGCATAGTACATTTTGCCTGGCTAGAACGCATTTTATGCTTCATTTAAGTGCTCTACAACTTCATATGAGGCTCTAAAATACTGTCTAGGTAGGCTGCACACTAGGTTTTGAGACACAGCCTCTATCATTTGCTTGCAGAGGTTAATATAGAGCACTGAATATTTAAATTTAAGCCTGATCTAGTTTTATTAACCAAAATGATTAAACACGGTGGAGCTGCTCATATTTTATTGAGCAGTATTTCAGTTTTACAAACCGTAACGTCAGTTAGATTCAGTTATATTAGACTGTCATTTATGAGCGTGTGCATTATAATGTAGTTAATCAAGAATGACAGCCCAGGTCATTTAATGCAGTGTTATGTAATCTTAAAAAATATTGGGTGTTGGAAAGTGTGTGTGGTTAACGATGTAACCGTTTATTCAAGATGGGTGGACAAACGCTGTTTTAAACAATCTGTTATTGAAAAACCAAAATGTTTGACTAGTAAGATGAAATGTGGTGGGGATGTGTGTGTCCCTCCCATTGTCTTTTGTGGTTATGAATCTGTGTCAAAATGTTGCATGTGAGAAGCCAGTGTGTACTTGTTGCTGCCACTTTTTTAATCTAATGAATATCTTTAAATCCTCACTTCTGAAGTTGAAACATTCTTCAGTTTGTTTGGTTTATATTTATGTGTTAATTTCAGCAACTTTGAATTGTTTTTGTCTCGGAGCTGCTGCCACCCCAGTGTGATTTTATAAGCATCCACCTTCTTGCAGGAGTATTTTCAGTCAGGTCAGCAGGATGCTGAAGGGCAGGTTCAGGGCAGGCTCAGGGCAAGCTTGAATTTGCCAGTCAGATCAGCCTCATCCTCATGGGTAGAGCTGAACTTCAACGGTCAAAGCAGCATGTCTGATCTGTTCATGGATTTTACTGCCGGATTCAGTGTGTACAGCTCAAGCTCCTCATCATACTCACTGGAGGGAACCACACAATGAAGGCAGATAGGATGTGAAGCCATCTGAAAGCCTTGGAGCTGTCACTCAGTGTTGTGGTATTATGTTTTTCTTTCCACACAAGATTTGTTTGGTGGTAAGGATATTGGTTCCTCGATGTCCGATTTTGTTCACCTACACTTGAATACATTCCTCCAGTGCAGAGTGTTAAACATGGTGTTTCCTGTATTAACAGGGGTCTGTAGAGCCCATGCAGATAGATGCTGACCCTCAGGAAGACCAGCAGAATGCGCCTGACACCAACTATGTTGTGGAAAACCCGACATTGGTATGTATCATTGTATACACTTGTGTACTCGCTTCCTTAAGCTGTTCGCTATTATAAATCATTAACTTCTTATTTTTTAATTATTTTTAACAAAATATCATGCAGCATCTAAATTCTCTTGTTGTTTTGATCATTTTCAGAATCACAGAAAAAGTTGTACTTTTTTTGGTAGAGATTCCGTCTAATAACCAGTAAATGGCTGATATTAAAATTATATATTGTAATAATTTGATATTAAAAATAAAAAACATAGAGTTTTAAGTGTTACATGGGGATTTTAGGGATCACACAGCATTATAATTTAAAGTACAAAAGATTTTCATTTTGAGATTTGCTAAAGATGCATTTGACATTTAATTATTAATGTCATTTGTATTTACCTCAGTGTTATTTTAATATTGTTTATATATTGGTATAGCATTTATTAATATTTTAAATTTGTAGTTTTTTTATAGTTTCACATTTAATTTTAATGTTAGTTTAAGTTTGAGTGATTTTGTTATGTGCTTTTGTCATTTTTATTAGTTTTAATTTTTAATATTTACATTTAGCTTTAATTTATTTTTATTCAAGTTTTAGTAATTTATAGTACTTGTATTTAGCTTCCAAGGCAACATGTCTATGTTTAGTTTTTTGTTGTTGTTGTTGTTGTTTTTCATCTTAAATTTATACGTTATTTCAGCTTTATTACAATTAACAAAACTATTGTAATAGTTTTTGTTTAAACACTAACAACACTGCTTCAACATTGCCATTATCTAATGCTCATTTAATTTAAGTATAAAAAAATTGGGGAAATGAGCATCTGTCATATTGTTTGGCCATCAATATAGCGCTGATATAATGCGAGTCACAACATTTTTTGGGACTTTGATGAACTGAGAGCTGACTTTATTT